AGACCGGAAGGTCTGGCGTGATCTGGTCCATGGGGTCGCGAAGAGTCGGACTCGTCTGTGTGACTGAACAACAACAATCAAAACTGTTGGTACAATTTCTTAAACATTGGCTTAAGTGTCATTTTGTAGCTCAGTTCTTACTCCACTGCCCCATCTTCTTCAGTATCTGAAAATTGATTTATCACCCAATCTGGAATTTCCACGGAAAGGACATCCTCAAATAGCTCAGACATACCTTTATGCAGCATATCCAAATAGTCACAAAAAACTTGCAGATCATCATCTTGTATCTCACCTTTCTCTTCTAGCTCAGACAAACGTGGAAATTGGTATAGCTCGCAGTGGCCTATATTGCAAGGCAACTTAGGTTAACTATAAACTTTGGAATAAACATAGTGACAACAGCTTTGGCCTTAATAAGACTGACCTCATTTCCTTGCAATTGCAAGTTCATTTCATTGAACTTTAAAAATAGTTCTGATAAATAAGCAATGTCATGCCTGGTCTCTTTGAGTTTGTCACTGAGGAAAGCAGTCATGTCTAAAAAAACCTGCACAACCATGTCAAAAAGGTTGTAAAAGCATCTCACACAGTTGTCTTTTGATAGCAAATAAATTTCAGTATGAAGTAGCAAACATTCAGAATCTTCAATCATTCTCCACACAGTTCTCCCGGAACAATGGATTATTGACAGCCAGGGCTTTAATTTTATTCACTGCAGTAATGACAGTTGTACAGGTGATCACGGAGGTTTTTCGTAATCAGATATGGTGATGAATGACACAGTGAATGGTAGACATTTCGTACAGCTTTTTTTCCCTAAGTAAGTGACATACCCACAGTAGTGACCAATCATTGATGTGGTCCTCCAGCAGTTGAAAAAACAAGTATGTTAGCAGAATGTCCTTGTCTTTGAAGAAGTGCTCAATAACACGAAATATTGACTCACCAATAGTATCTGTTCTTAGTTGCCTTGCAAATAACGCTTGAGCCCAGACTTTCATCTTTTATAAAGCACACATAAGTGAGAAACAAAGATTCATTGCCCAGTAAATCTGACATCCAGCTGTAAAGCAAATTCAGTTGACCTTAGTATGCTGCACAATGTTATCTTCTGCAGTTTCAGCCATTTCATCTATATGTCTTTGAATATCCTGTCAAAGGCATTCACGGCCAGAGTTTATTGGTTGTTGTAGATTTTCCGGGCTGTATGTCCATGGTCTTGGCATTGTAGGACCTGACGTTTCTCCAGCAGCTGTGGCTGGCATCCTCAGAGGTATAACACAGAAAGATGGAGTACTCTTGTGTCAAGGTGAGAAGAAAAATAGTAGGCAGGTAATTTATATCTACTCAGGAAGGTGGGGTAGGGCTGAGTAGGAGTTCCCCAGGTTGCGACATGCTAATAGAGGAGCTTTCCTGAGGAGGTTCTTTTGCATATGGATTGTCTGTTGAAATTCTAATCTTATCTGTAGTGCTATTGTAAGATGTAGAGCATTTTGTGTTTTTCAGGACAGGAAACCATGCCCTATTTATTTTTAAATTCTCTTCTTTCCTGTTGAAATTGTGTTTATGTTTATGAATGTTTATGAAACACACATTTTGTGTTTTTCAGGACAGGAAACCATGCCCTATTTATTTTTAAATTCTCTTCTTTCCTGTTGAAATTGTGTTTATGTTTATGAATTTCAATGACTTCCCTGTGTAATCTGACATGGTAATTGGATGTGTTGTCCAGCATTTCAGTGTCTTGGAATAAGATACTGTGTCCTGTTTGAGTTAGGCTATGTTCAGCCACTGCTGATTTTTCAGGTTGGCCCAGTCTGCAGTGTCTTTCATGTTCTTTTATTCTTGACTGAATGCTACGCTGTGTGGTCCCAATGTAAACCTGTCCACAACTGCATGGCATGCGGTATACTTCTGCAGAAGTGAGGGGATCTCTTCTGTCTTTTTGCCGATCGTACCATCTGTTTTATTTTTCTGGTGGATCTGAATACTGTTTGTAGACTGTGTTTTTTCATAAGTTTTCCCATCTGATCGGTGATTCCTTTGATATATGGCAAAAACACTTTTCCTGTGGGAGACTTTTTCCTCAGTTGTTTGTTTTACCTTTGGTTTAATTGCTCTTCTGATTTCATTCTTGGAGTAGCCATTTGCTTGAAGTGAGTGGTTTAGATGATTTAGTTCATCGTTGAGAAAGTGTGGTTCATATATCCGTCTTGTGCGGTCTACTAATGTTTTGTTTATGCCTCTTTTTTGCTGAGGGTGGTGACTGGAGTTTTTGTGTAAAGATCCATATGAGTTGGTTTTCTATAGATCTTGTGTCCTAATTGAAGGTTAGCTTTGATATCTAGAAATGGGATTTCTTTTTCCATAGTGAATTGTATGTTTGGGTGGATGTTGTTGAGGTGGTCTAAAAACAACCATACTTCTCCATGGCTCCAAATGATAAAGGTAACATCTATGTACCAGAACCAGACTGTAGGCTTGAGGGGTGAAGATTCTAAAGCGTTTTTTCAAAATGTTCAATGTAGAAGTTTGTTATAACCGGGCTGAGAGGGCTTTCCATGGCAACCCCATCAGGGCTTCCCATGGCAACCCCATCCATCTGTTCATAGAATTCGTTATCCCATTGGAAGTAACTGGCTATCAAACAATGGTGGAATAAGGCTGTTATGTCTTCTGGAAAAATCTGATTAACAAGCATGAGTGTGTCTTGTACTGGAATTAAGAACCTATAAAGGTTAGTCAAGAATAGAAGAGGGCCAACTCTTAAAATCTAATTATGAGACCTAAAAAATATACATGTATTTATTAAACACAAATTAAAATAACGAATAAGGGCCCATTCATACCTCATATACAAGTATAAAAACATACAAAGGCTGATGAAATAGGCCTAACGCGTTTCGGCCTTTACAGGCCTTCCTCAGAGGTCTAATACAAATAAAACATGTTGGCTGATATGTAAAAATATATACAATCATACATATACAGAATATGCAATAGAGACCAGAAAACAATTGCTGTAAAAATAAAATAAATAGACCATTAGACACATATGCTACAACTAACAAATACATAGTAAATATATTGTCAAACAAAAAACCATTGACTTACTTCCAAAGTTTAACCACTGGGCAAAGAAGAGAAATACAAAAATACAAATACAGCCTCCAGTGCAATCACATGTCCAGTAGTACGTCTCTAGAAACAATAAAAGTGTATGAGTCAATGTATTAAACAACTAATAACTGAATGTAAACAAAGAAAAATGAAAATAGTCACCTCTAGTCAACCTATATATTCTGGAACCTTGGAAAAAGAGATACCACATCAAAACTGACGAGTATGTCCTGTGTGTTACATGTCTTTGCACTGAATTGTTGCCGAGAGGAATAGCCTCTCAAGATTTTACAGCAAAAACTTGAAAAATGACAGAGCGAAAAACACATGTGATGATGACAGCTTCTCAAAACACAATATACTGGTCTGACTAGTGGTCTGATGGCATAGTTAATTCCAGTAGTTTCCACCATATTTCAGCTCTATGCAGAAGCAGAAACTTGGAGTGCCATATGCCGGCATGGTGCCATAGCCTGGTCCATCATAAATAAATGAATAATGCAGTTGAAGGGACCTACCAGATGCACCCATCATCCCCTTGCGTCTTTGCACCCCCTAGGTAATCTCCCCAAGGGAGCAGTGCTGCCCACTTTGGAAACAACTGGTCTAAACAGAAATGTTAGGTTTTTGTATTTATTTATTTATTTATTTGCTTTCACTTCACCTGGAGAGCCAGTTTGGTGTAGAGGTTAAGAGCACGGACTTTAATCTGGGAGAACCGGGTTTGATTCCCCGCTCCTCCACATGCAAGTGCTGGGTGACTTTGAGTCAGTTATAAGTTCTTTCAGAGCTGTGCTCTCAAGGGTAGTTCTCTCAGAGCTCTCTCAGCCTCACCTACCTCACAGGGTGTCTGTTGTGGGGAGGGGAAGGGAAAGGGATTGTAAAGTGCTCTGAGACTCCTTTGGGTAATGAAGGGCAGAGTATAAATCCAATCTCCTCCTCCTCCTCCTCACTAAACTGCCTTGCAACTGCCCTCCTCCAGACATTTTGCTGTGAAAATATCTTTCCTGCTTACACAGTCCTGAGCTCCCTGTGATCCTTTCCTTTGCAGGCAGATGTCTTGTGATATCTGACTGTTCACAAATGCTTTTCCTTAGGACTACAGACCTTCCATTTCAAATCTTTCTTATGCCCAGAAAGGGAGCTTTCTGAGTGGCACCTCTGCCATGGATGCTGGCAGGTCTACTGAAACCGGCAAAACCCAGTCTGCTCAGTGAAGAGGGATGTGGATGATGGGTAGATGGGATGGTCAATCACTTGCTAGACCCAGGAAAGCCTTCCAGCTCATGTAATAACAGGGGATCTTTAGTTTAAAAGGAATGGCTATTGTACTGGGGGTAGGTTTAAAAAATTATGGATAGTATGGTAACGGGATATTTTTCTATGTCTCCTTATTCTAGAACTTGGAGTTCACTCTGTGAAACTAATCTGAAGTAGATTAAAAAAATTGGAAAAAATATTTTAATTCACCACATAGTGTACAGGATTCACTACCACAAGCTATCTGGCTGCTAGCTTAAATGTCTAAAAAGGTTTATAAAATTGTTGAGGATAAGGCTGTAAGCAGTTTCAGGCCATGATGGCTACGTGGAAACTCTCAGTTCAGAGCTAAGAGCTGTTGCATTCATGCCGTGTTTATTGAGGCATCTGACCAGTATCCTGTGTCTAGCACTGGCTAGCGTAAGGTGGATAGTTGGCCTAATCCAGCAGGGTTCTTACTACTTCAGCTAGTTTTAAATTTTGCAGTTGATCTGGTCATTTTGATTCAGTTACCTTGCATGGGAAAATGTTGGATTACAGAATCGTAAATCCTGCTAAGTGAACAATGCTAATTGGTTTGATCAAAATTTCTAATTTGTCTTTCTTTTCTTTCACAGCTTTCATCCAGTCAGATAGTATAATAGAAGTTTTACGCTTTGATGAAGGAGGCTTATTACAGGTAAATATTTTCCATAAAGCAAAACATGCTGACGCGTTATTGTTTATGTATGCAGTAACTCAATTTTAGCCAGCTGTAGTCTCTGCAGCATTTTCTTGATGAAGAAAAATAAAATTTGCAATGTCAGGCCTGTAAATCAAATTTAATACCCTCATCTTTTCTGTTTGATCCTTGTAGTTCACTGTGTTCATTGTTTAATCTGCAATCTGCTCTTAATAAAGCCTCAGTAAGTCTCCTGTCTGCACACTAGTTGGCTAAGTTTGGCATTTCTAATGAACAAGGTGAACCTGTGTCAAAGCTTCCTTCCCTACTACAGAGTAGTAGGTTTCCCTACTCTTACATTTCCCTGGTGCATTCCTGGCACCATAGCTCTTCCTCATGCAACTTCTGTGTATCATGGTCAGCCTCAGAAGATAAAAGAAGTCTTGGGAAGTTAAAAACATGTTTTCTGCTTGCTGCCTTTTTTCCACTTTCCCTCTTACATTCTCAGCTTCTCTTTTCAGAGTTGATCTTATATAGGTCAACAAACTAATGGTTTTGGGTGGGTGTGGGTTATGAAGGTTATGAGATAGAAGAAGAAGAAAGGGCTGATGTGCCTAGGGTTTCCCGGTCTTACCTGGTTGCTGGTGGGGGGGCAGTCTTGCTGTGTGGGTCTTCTGGGTCATTGCGCCAGGCACATTGGGCGGGACGCTCTAGCATTTGGGCAAACCCCCCTATGGTTACCATAGAGTTTTTTCCCAAATGCTAGAGTGTCCCCTGAGCAATGATGTCACTTCTGGGTGATGTCATGATGCCAGGCACATTGGGTGGGATGGGACTCTTTGGAGGCAGGCCCCCCCTCCTGGCCAGCTGGCCAGTGGGGGAACCCCTGCCAGGGGTATGGCAACCCTAAGGTGTGCCCCATAACACAATTTGTAGTTTGCAAGATAATATTCAGAAGTGCTTTTCTGCTTTAAAGTGGAGCTGATATTTAGAATAAATACTCTTCTTCACCTTAATTTGTAACACTTATAGCAAACAATGAAGTTACTGTTGTAGATTTGAACATACCGTATTTTTTGGACCATAAGACTCACTTTTTCTTCCCAAAAAAGTGGGAGGAAAAGTGAGTGCGTCTTATGGACCGAAGGTTCAGAATATTTTAAAGGAGGAAAACAGGGGAAAAAATATTCTGAACCTTCGGTCCATAAGACGCACTCACTTTTCCTCCCACTTTTTTTGGAAGAAAAAGTGAGTCTTATGGTCCAAAAAATACGGTATGTTTTCCTGGAAATTAAGTCCCACTAAATTCAGTTGGGCTGAAGCTCAAGTGAGGGTGCACATGACTGCGGCCTTAGGGCGCAGCCCTAAACAAGTCTACTTGTAAGCAGTTCCCATTTTAATCAGCGGAGCTTATTTCCAGGAAGGTGGTCTTAGTTTTGTTCCCTGAGTGGCTAACATCAAGGAACCTACCTGTCTTTCAGAGTCTGGGAGAATACTGATTTACATTGTACCAGGTTTTGGTCTTGTAAAACCATAATCCCATTTTGGGAACAGAGAATTTTCTGCATAAATCTAATAGTCATCTTGTGTGTTTACGTTGAAGCTTCTTGGAGCCATACTTTCATTATTCAGAATGGACAACTGCTGCACATCTCTAGCTATTCAAGAGTTTGGTACTAGGAAGATGTTAACTTTGTAGATGTAACCTTAAATCGTGGTTGATGCTAGGAAGGGAAGGCAGATTTATTTAGGACAGGAAGAGGAGAGGCTGGCCAGTCACTGCAAGGCAAGCCTTTTAGCCAATGTAAGGGTCTATTTTGTTACCTGGAGCAGAGTATTGCCTTTAACACTGTAATCTCCTATCAGATGTAGAATCCCTTGCAGTAATAGCTAGGAGCAAAATTCTGTCTGCCAACAATCAGTCTTTTCTATCTGAGCTTGTCTCAAATTACTTCAGATTACTAGACCTCTACTGGCTGCTAGGCTGTTTCCAGCTGCAAGATTCTTTTTTGGTGTGTTTGCATATCACAGTGTTTCATGATAACACAGACATTTAAAGACAATGAGTAATTATAGAAAGTGCCATATCACATCTGCCTCTGTCTTATTTATGTAATAACTGAATTATGCTGATAGACTATTCGAATTGCTTTGTTCTGTCTTGATTCACTGATTTTAAAAAGACAGTTAATTGTGTCATTGTCTCATGTCTACTGAATGCATGAAATGTGATGGAATCACACATCAAGGATTAATTATGCATGTTTTTACTTAAGCTTCTGCTTGATAATTGGCTTTGCTAATTTAATGTCTGAAAACCAACAAATAATTTCAGAGCATAGAACTAATGGTATTTTGTTCATAAAGGGCAATGAAATCATTAACTGCTTCGTAACTTCTTTGTTAGAGGCAGCGAATGCAACCTGTCTTCTCACATTTTTTAAACTCTAAAATTTTAATGATTGCATGGTCCCCAGGCCCCGGTGGCTTTTTATCTATAAGGATCCAGTATTCCAGTGACTTCTCCCCACCAGCACCAGCTTTGGGATGGTTGTAGGTGCTGTTTCCTGAACTGGAAGGCAGGGGCCAGTCTACTTCAGCTGATGGAAAGATGAGCCAACCCTGTTGTAGAGGTTCTTTGTCCAAGTTAAATACTGGCCATGTTACTTGTATTTCAGTGCACACCGTTATTTTGGAAAGATGTGCCTTATGCCAGTGAGCTTTGCAGAGTTTACTCCTGTGAGCACTAGGGCTAGCATGCAAATCGCTTACCTGCCTATTGTTTCACTATTATCAGATAATGGCAAATATTCCGTAAAGCCAAGAATTCCATTGTATAGGTGGCAATTTAGGGCTCGGTTTGAGTTCCTACTCAGGATGTGTAGTTTGGTTTTTGAAGGTTTTGATTACTTATGCTTTGATATTGAAGTTTGCATTTTTTTTTCCTTTGTAGACTGAGGCAACTATTGGCCTTGGTACATATCAGCAGAAAAGGTAAGTTGCTTTTTATGATGTATTCATATATGCTGAGTGAACTACAGCAATTTCTTAGAATTCTCCTGCTATAATTAAAAGTTTTGAATACTTTGTGGTGTCTACTAGAAAATAGTTATTTATTGTACATCTTACAGAAACAATTAGCCTAATCTAAGCTGATCAACATAGTCATGAATATTATGTGCATATTACAATGTAATAAACTTGCAGTAAAGTCCCAAGTGAACTAATGCCCTCCTAAATCCATTGAAGCCTGTGTGTTTAGGAGGATGTAACTCCGCTAAGGACTGTACTGTTCAGGTGTGTAAAATTATTAGTGATATTTTGCAAGGTAATGTGGTAGAGATAAATTTATCATAGGTTTAACTACCACCTCATAATCATGTTCAAATACCTGTGGAAGTGACCAGGCAAATGAAAGGAACTTCTCATGGAGAGTTGATCAATCCCATCATTTGATTTGCTCGGTCGCAGCAAAGATAATTGGTTATACAGTTCAGCAGTTACTGACCACTGTGGCAACAGTAAACTGTTCGCTTGTATACAGGCATTTCTACTGTAGTGCAGAGTTGACTCTTATTTTTTGATTGTACCATAATTAGTGAGTGCTTATTGCAAATATGAGCTACATTGTGTGGAGAATGATGCCAAAGTGCAAAACTTAAAGCAACTTTAAACATCTTCTGCCTCTGTCTTACATCTTTGATGAGGTGGCCTTTTGTAAGACAGAATTAACAGTGGCTTTTCTGCAAGCCCTTTGTATATGTAACTGACAGTTAGCTTTCAAAGGAGCCATGTAATAGTTTATACGATTACATCTTCAGAAAGCAAGAAGTATGTAGTTAATAGAACTTAAGCAGATCTACTGTGCAGGATAACCATTGTGACAATTGCATATCTGCAGATGGAAATGAGTCATATTCTGACTAGTAAGTTATTGGATAGTGGGGGGAGGGGGGATTGTAGATTTGGAAGATAATGACCTGAAGGTGGTTTAGACCAATTCAGTTGCACTGAGGCATTATTAAAATATATCAACACTTTAACAAGTTAGCATTCATCTGGTGAAGAAATTTGGGGCCTGTGGTTAGAAGGGGCTATGTGCTATTGAAGGAATAGATGGATGAATTTAAACTATATTTTTCCTGGATGGCTAGCATTCCTTAATGCCAAAAATTCCTGAACGCTTCTCAAATATATCTTGTGACTTCTAATCTTTAGATCCCCTGTGGTACTAGGAAAGCAGTTTCCAATAAGCTGTTCTGCTGAATTGCCTGAATAGAACAAAAATTATGTCAGTAGGTTACAAGAAGCAGCAGTATGCTATATTAACTGTAGAGCACCCTGCAAAACTGTCTCCTTCTACAACTTTCATTAACCATCTGAAGTTCAAATTCTCCAGTGAACATTTCCAGACATTGCTTGTTATCCTGACTACCTCACCTCATGAAGGGTTGAAAGACATCCCTTGTATTGGGATACCTACAAATCTTGCAACTTTATTTGCATTTTTGGTTTTAAGTGTTGTTGTAACTTCCTCAGATTCCATAATGCTGTGTAGAAAGTCCAATACTTCTATGGTATTGCTGTTGTCAGTGTTTTTGTTCTGACAACCACCCAACTCAAAGTAAATGATAGTATCTCTTACAAATCCTTCTGTTTCCACACAGGGCCACTGACAGGGGGACTGGGAAAACAAAATGGGGGGGGGGCAAATTAGCTGGAGGGTCATTGAAGCTAGCTGCATTCTGCATCCAGCAGATCTATGTATTTGTAATGCAGTTCTGGCTGCAACCACTAGGAGTGCAGGGAAGTCTGAGCAGAGTAAAAGGCACTCCAGTATAGGCTAAGACTGAAGCAAACTTGCTATGGCGATCTCACCCTCTTCCCTCCCTCACACACAAGATTTTCCCTTTGTTTCTTATTTTTTTGCTGAGCAACCCTGTATCTATTTTCTTCTTATTTGTTGGTCTGTAGCTGTCCCACCATGTCATGTTGTTATATATTTTGAGGCTTGTCCAGTCCAGGGACTTGAGGGAAAAGACAAAATCACCTGCTTATATTCTACTTCTGTAATGGCACACAAGAGGCTTTTGAAAGTTCAAAATAAACAAAATATGTTATTTAACTTGGAGGGGGGAAGGTCAGGTGGAATCAGAGGTAGGATGTATGAGGTGAACTGATAATAGAAATTGAGGTAACTTTGTTATCACACTAAATTCAGATATGTTGCCAACAAGTGTTTTTGCTTTTCAGCAAGGTCTTTTGAAACTTTGAGGAGAGAGGCTTTCTTTTCAGTGTCTGCTTAAACACTCAAGCATAGGTTCCTGAGTTATACTGACCCTTAAGGTTTAGAAGGCAGGAACATACAACCAAGTTCCCAGAATCCTTCTATATACACAGACCAGGGATCACTCCTTTTTAAAGAGTTAACTCCCTTTTCACTGGGCAGGGATTACTTCTCTAGACTAGAAGCTCTGTCCCTTTTTGGCTTGAATAGGTATCCACTGTGATCATGCATCCTTCAGCCTCTTTTCCAATCCACAGTGGGTGTGGTCAGACGGCGTGCTGAGAGTGGGTTAAACTGCTCCGGTTCTAACCAGATTATATTTGATCTGGATAATCGCGATCACACTTACCTCCCTTATCCTGCTTTACCACGCAGTCGCAGCTCTCCCTGCTGTCTACACTACCAATGCGTGGGAGCATGTGTCGGCATTTAAAAAACAAATTCTCAGTTTGTGCATGTGCATAAACGCCCCTCCATAGAAGGGGGGGAAACTATCATGGTACATGCACAGAACCACCAGTGCGAATCAATCCAACCCCTGCAACAAAAGACTTCCCTTTAAATGTTTGACCCGAAAATGGCCTCCGTGAGATCCCGAACTCATCTAAACGCTAAAACAAGTGACTGTTTAAATGTCGGTTTTCTAAACACGGTGGCGGAGCTCCGCCTATGCGCATACCGCCAACACATTAAAAAAATGGTGGGCGAAAAGTGGAAGCCTCGGGCAGCTTTCGAGCGGGGAGGGGGTTTAAACCAGAAGTGGCTTGACACCGGAGGAGCGATTACACAGGGGGAAAATGCGGCTTTAAACGGGAGAGCTGAGAAAACACCACTTTGGGACCTGGTAACAAAATACTCCGGGTTAAAGCAGTTTTGAGCCGGAAACCAGCGGCTGGGGATGGGAGGCAGATGTTGACTGTGTGATCATGCATATAAAATCCGTTGCTGAACTGTCACGACACCACATCAAACGGCGCGTCTGAATGCACCCAATCAGTGCTAAACTGCCTTTTCTTCAACTATCAGCTCCCAACTGTCATTTCTTAACCGAAGCTCAATAAAATTCTATTTGAACTGCCTGTCACTCAGAGGTGCTCAGACAGTTAGAATGTTAACCCTTGACAGTCCATCACACTTGCCTAATAGACCATACTAACCCATAAACTAATCCAGCAATGGAGCAAGAAGAGCAATTCCAGCTGATGGCTGTTGCACTGTCTGCCTGCAGCCTGTTAACCAAGGTCATTTTCTATAATAATCTAGGCTTTCTCTCTCCCTTTCCTTGCACTCAGCTCAGCCAGATCTTGCAAAGCAATAGTTAGGGTGTTGCAGCAAAATAAAACATTTCTCTCTCTTCCTCAGTTTTTCTCTTTTCCACACTTTTCTCATTCATTTCTATCTCCCCCCCCTAATTTTTCTGTGTGTCTCCCCCCCCCCCTATTTTCACTTCTTGGTTTCAAAACCTTCTCATCCCTATCCTGCTTGGTGACAGAATGTTCTTAAAAATAGAATCATAGAAAACCTTTGTTAATATTATGAACAGAAGGGGGGAAGAGTTAATATTTCATCATGATCTAACGAAGTAATAAAAGGATGCTTCCCACCCCTCCTCCACCCTTTTCATGCTGCCATCAGTCCAAGTTATGTGGGGTTTGAACTGCCACGTTTATTTTGCCATCTTTTTAATGGTTTTAGCTGTTTTAAGAATTAACTATATTAAATTGGTTTTAATAGCTCATGCACCCTGATACCTGCTTCTGAGCCCATTTCACTGTATTAATAATGGAATTGTTTTATATGGTTTTATGTGGTTTTAACTGTATTTTATGTACTGACTGTGAGCTGCCCTGAGCCTGCATTGTGGGGCGGGCGGGGTATAAATGTGATTAATGAATAATAAATAAATAATAAATAATTAACAATAAATAAATAAATGGTAATAGAAAATTAATCTTGTTTTAGTGGTTGTACATGTGGAACAGAAGTTACAGCTCCCAGTTCAGGCATTGGACTGTTAATCATCATTGTGCTGGTGGAAGATCTAATATCCCTTTGTAAAGACTACTTTGCTATCTGACAAATGATGCAACCTTTTCAATATCATAGCCAAGTGATTTGCTTGTTTTATTGATACTTGGTTTTGATCAGGGTCATGGGGGGCCCATATTTTGAGTTGTCAGTATGATATACATTTTAGGTTATTTAAATTTATCCAAGTAAACTGCTAGCTAATGTATATGGTTTAGTTTTGGAATAGACAAAAAAATGCAAAATTGGCTGTGGCAGAGGTTTCATTTCCTACCTATTTCTGAAATAGTTAATTTACATTTAAATTTGCAAATACAATGAAAGTGAGACACTTTCAGCCACTTAATTTGGGAGCTGCTATGCTCACTTGATACCACCTCTTTTGCATTAAATGGTATTTTAAGAATTACGAGAGTCTACAGTTACTTCTGTAGATGCTGCTAAGCAGTGAAAAGGAAATAGTAGTCAAATTATGGGTATGGAAAATGTTGTGGTGCAAACTGACATTGTTTATTAATGGATTGGTAGGAGATGTTGTTCCGCAATTTTAAAATGTACATCTCTTTATTTTTATTCAGTTTTAAGTTAATCTCTATATATTTGGAACTCCATGTGCTTTCCATTTCAAACAGTCATTTCAGATCACTAAGAAATAGTTGATTACAGGAACATTAGTGGC